CATTTCTGTAATCCTCAGGGGAACAAACTATTTTATATTTAATACTAAATTCCTCATATTTTAATAAATCCCCTATCAAATGAATAATGGTCCAAATTAGTTTTTCCATGATCCATCCTTCCATGAATATTGATTTTCTTCTTCYGYGGTCTGCATTTTAATTYTAAACGTCACATGCAGCAATGAATTGTGGGTAATACACTTCGCCRAAGTCTGTAGAAATGCRGACTTTGAGTAAGGGTGGAAATAGTACCCAAAATGGGCGGGGCAAAAGGCGGATGTAGAGAATSTGGGACACACTACGCACTCAAACCCTTCAACATGAATGTGCATTTGAAGTGCACAAGAGAACGAGGGTGGGASTGTGGGTACTGGGGTCAAGGTCTGCAGAGGCCTAATGAAGCACTCYTTAGGTCCAGCTGTGTTGAACCAGGGCAGCTCCTGCAGGACACCGGCCCTGGAGGACCCACTTTGGACACCACTGCTGTAAAGTCTGGTGCAGACAGTGTAAAAACTGTTCAGGAAGCTAAGCTGTCAGGTCTGTGAGCCTCCTGGATCCTCACAGACCTGACAGATCTGTGAGCCGAGAACCAAYCAAGACCGGTCAGATTATTTTACATCATCCAGTGTGAGGAGGGATGAATCAGTCTGTRTCATAGCTGGGTTATTTCATTACTTTTCTTCTTCTAGACTCATTTGATCGGTTTCACTGGACCATGTCAGGACTTTCATCAGTCTTCTGACCAAGGGCAGTTCTAGAGGTGGGGTTACAGAGGTATTGGCCCCTGCTGAAATCTGATTGGCCCCCTGAAGTGCCCCTGTCCTGTCACTCATCTGCCCTTTGCCTGAGAGCATTGATGGTGGGTGCAGTTCCATGTTCAAACACTAGCTGTGTTTCCATTACAAATGTGCACAAAACTTTGTCGATATTCTGTTAATGTCTAAAAAAAACAATTTCGCAACTACTGTGTTTCCATTACAAATGTGCACAAAACTTTGTCGATATTCTGTTAATGTCTAAAAAAAACAATTTCGCAACTACTGTGTTTCCATTAAGTAAGAAATGCTATTAAAGTCACGCATGAATACGTTTGTTC